GACACGTTGAAGTTAGTGCATCTTTGATCCCTTTCCACTTGTCTTTCATAGTATTATTCTCTTCTTCGAGTGGATCTTGTAAGGCGTTGAACCTGTTTTTGAGATCTATATTGAATTCGTTGAATTTGTCAGTATGTCGAAGGAAGACTGTATTGAACCTTTGTAATGTTGTTTGTCCAGTTGTCCATTGCTTCGTTAGCTTAAGTTTCATCTTGGCAATCACCAGATAGATGGTGATCTGAAGCTTTGACGATATTGAATCCGTGAGATTCCTACCGTATATGTACACTTGGTGCTTCTTCGGACAGCATCAGAGCAACTACTTTAATATGTGGAACATTTTCTTCTGCGTGATCGGAGTACAACAACATCTCTCCTGTACCCGACCTTTGCTGTTCAGCTTGGATACAATGAGTTTCACGGATTCCGAGAACCGTCAAGTTGTATTTTCTCATTTCTGCAGCTATTTGACTGGTCTTTCTGGTCTCGCACATTGTCCAGACACTTCATGTATCCATAAGAATTGTTGCTTTTGTTGTTAGAAGGGGTGTCGTCATCGTGACTTCCGAAGAATCTTGGCTTTCACTATAAGGTGTAACAATTCTTTCTTCAGTTTACATTAACTCTCTGTTACTTATTACAATTTAATTCGATATCGTCTGATTTCGTTCAGCAACCACTTTTTAGCCATATATGTTTGAGAGTATTTTATTAGTACTTGATATCCTGACGTAGATCAATTTCCCGAGAGTAATCATCAGTAAGTGTATTTTTGTAATCTCGTGTCCAACTCCTTGCTGAAATTTAAGGTTATTTTCAGGCAAGTTTTCACTAACAGGGGCTATACATATAGGCTTCCATACTAAGGTTGGGCTTGATAATCTCAAATAAGTTGAGCATTGGGTTGTGAGTTAATAATAAATATTATTTTAATATCCCAAGGAGTAGAAAAATTTTATTTCTGATGTTTCGTGACTTAGTGTAAGACATTTCTTCAGAGTAAATGTTATAACGCTCAGGGTTCTTCGTCTGCACGAATGGGACGTTAAGCTTGATATTAATTGCACGGCTATTATGCTTCCCTACCACTCATTTCTAAGAAATTGTAGGGTGTATATCTACGCTAGATTCTCTCCCAGTGTCTATTCTACAGGACATCAACACAACTCAGATCAAGAACACATGATTAGCCAGAATAGAACATGAATATATTTACACACCAAAAACTGACAACAATCAGTCAACAATCATAATAAGGACGGGAGAATATATAACTCATCTAACGCCTGCAGACTGTCTACTAGTCTAACGAAGCAAACAACCAATCATTATTATTCTCGCCCATACATCAGTAAATAAATAACCGACATTAAATTAACACAGTTTTAAAAAGTATCAAGGTACTCATTGGGATATAACAAAAATGTGTTTATTATTAGTGGCTATACATATATCGTTTCCATAAACTATCCATGAAATAGATAAGATAATACATAAACAACTTTATATAACCTGTTGACAGGACCTGAGCTACACTAAATTTGGACAGTAACTACCAGGCTCAATAGATATTTTTCAGTTTTTTTCCTTTAAATCCTCGTGAATACTCACTACTTAAAAGATCCAAACTATAACAAGGTAGCTGTCCTATACACCCTAGTTCTAAACTTTTCTATTTATTTTCATGATGATGATCACTCCTAACTAATAAGAAATCATTTTGAAATACTATTCTTATAGCAAAAAGTTTGGCATAAAACTTATCTAGCCAAAAACTCATTACATCCAACACCAACGTCATGCACACCATGAAATATACAAATTTAATAATATTGTGGTGTGCGCTACTGATGTTGAATCCGTGAGATTCCTATCGTATAAGTACACTTGGTGCTTCTTCGGACAGCATCAGAGTAACTACTTTAATATGTGGAACATTTTCTTCTGCGTGATCGGAGTACAACAACATCTCTCCTGTACCCGACCTTTGTTGTTCAGCTTGGATACAATGAGTTTCACGGATTCCGAGAACCGTCAAGTTGTATTTTCTCATTTCTGCAGCTATTTGACTGGTCTTTCTGGTCTCGCACATTGTCCAGACACTTCATGTATCCATAAGAATTGTTGCTTTTGTTGTTAGAAGGGGTGTCGTCATCGTGACTTCCGAAGAATATCGGCTTTCATCCTGATACCCCGTAATTGTTTTGAATAAATATCTTTCAACTCTGTGTTCATTGTTTAACTGGTTCAAATTGTTCATTCTGATTATTGTTGTTTTTTCGAGATTGTTTTTTACCAGATGGGGTTTTGACACAGTGCCAGATCCTCCTCCTTCGTGTTAGCTTGAGAACCTCAGTAGGTCAGTGAAACCTACAGGTGGAGTAGGTTGTTCTGTTTATTCATCTGAAAACAGAAAGTCTTGGTGATGCTGTCCTCAGCAAATTACCCATTTGAATATGGTTTTCTGTACTCACTTATGAATGTAGAATGCTGATTGCATGTACATATCTAGCTCCGGATACTCTTAGTTTAACTGACACTACTATACGTCAGTCATTCGCTAATACTGCCTCACTTGATTTCGCCCGCGAAATTACGTGTTGATTTCAACTTTCCTAACATCAACTGGAAAACACTTTTGCTTGTTGTGCTTTGAAATTATACTCAAGTATGAACTACTTAGTGAATGGTTTACTGTCAATGAAAATAGATTACATATCCCAGATATCAACATCAAGTGCATCATCGAGAATAATCTTAGTGTCGTTAACTTTTATCTTAGTAGTATATGTACGGATCATCAACATTGATCTCTGTCGAATAATTGGGGGCCTACTCCAGTTAGACTGGAGTGGTGTGACCAACAGCTGACGTTGAAATCACACCTCTCGGTCAGCACCTAACGCGAATTACCTCTTCGTCTTTTCAAGGCGCTATCTATGCTTTGAAGACCGTACAACACATACGACACTATTACGGAAATATATTAGTAATAATGAGTACAGAGAAGATAGTGAAACCACTACCGCATAAGCCGGTCCATAGCATACGATTAACTGATGTGCGTTGGTTGTCCCCGACCTTTTCAGGGATCGGTGATCTGTTTGATAGTCAGTGACCCAGCTGCCACATGATGTGGCTAGGGCTCAGTGACATTCCACTGACCATACATATAAGCCGCTATCAAAACCCTTAAGCTGAATGCAAGTTATGGTGCTAACGACATCACATAGATCCACTCTGAGTTGGCTGGATCGGACATAAGAACATCAGTACTCAAGACATTCATATTATCCTCAGAGGCAAATACATATCCCGAAACCTGGAAGATAACGTATATTGTCCCAAAACACATATCAGGATCAAAAACCTGATCGAAAATTTCAGACCGATAAATATCGCCCCAAGTATGTCAGGCATAATGGAAAAGTTATACAAGATCATTTATCTGATCGTCTACTTAAAAAAGGTCTGACCGAACCGCAGCAACACGGCTTGACTAGAACATGGTCTTCCAGTACATGCCTGATAAACGAGATTACTCACATACGTGACAAAAAAATCTAGTGGTTGTATTCGATTTAGATATAAAGAATGCTGTTAAGGAAACTAAGGAATACCCTAAGCGCTTACGTTCGTACAAAATCTATAGAACTAAGAGAAGATGCAACATAGCATATGGCAACATTAATACTGCATCATTAGTGCAGGAGCTCAGGTATTCTTAAACTACTTGAATAACATGCTACCGTAGTGGTCTAAATAGACTTCAGAAAAGCTTTTGATAAAGTACTTGACAACCGGCTGCCATCTAAGTTAAGTGATACTGGAACGAAAGTAAAGTTATCTATGAGAACAAAGGGCTTCTCCTATGTGCACTTCAACGAAGAGTATGAGTAAACTCGAAGTGGTCTAGCTAGGAAACAGTGACAGTGCATTGTTTCAGGATACGATTGTGAGGTCAGTGCTGCCCTTCTGATATGTAAATGACTTATCTGATCTCCTATCATCATCGGTTTTCTTATATACTGACGATTTCAAGATACGAAGAGCGATAAAACGTAAAGGTAATAGTTTACAACTTCAAAATAACCAAAGAAATCATCTAAATGGTCTGGAATTTAACAGTTTCCAACAAATACTTCCAAGCGCATTGTGATGTAAATTGGTCACCAAGGTACAGACACACACACAGTGAAAAACATTGAGCTACTTGTTGTCCAGACACACAACGACCGACAAGTCATCATTAGCCAAAACCTAAAAACTACTACACACTTCCGTGCGATTACCGTCAAGAATCTTAGAACCTATGGTCAGTGCATAATGCCTTTATCCATTTCGATGGTGAATACTTTTCGACTTCGTGTGCAGTATTCGTTCGTCCTAGACTCGACTATTGCATTCAAGCAGCTAGCCCCTGTCTAAAAACAGACAGTGAGTTGATGGGAAACGTTCAAAGAACTGCAACTAAGCTGAATCCAGGGATAGCTAAGCTTCCGTATAATGTTCGACTGGTCAAATTAAATATAATGCCATTGTCATTTAGAAGAACCAGAGTTGATAGATTTGCATCTGATATGCCCTCATTTTCCTTGTCTTCTAAAGCAGAGAATTTACGAATACACTCAAAAAGATAACAAGCCCAGAACAAACTACTTGTCAACTGACAATGGACTTTCCCAATGAATCATCAATGAATGGAATTCATTCCCTCAGTCCGTGATTGAAGCTCCATCTGTCAACGCTTTCTAAGGGAATTCGGATCAACGGAGATACCACCATTGCCAGGAATAGCACTGCTTACACAGCCTTCTGTCCTTTCCATACTGAAGCTGAAGGTTTGGCTACATTTCTATATCGCTTTAAGCCTATGAGTCTTGATATCATTGTGAAACATGGACTTTTGTGTTTACTTTATTGAATGATTTCATATATAGTGAATATTCAATATATCTTTAAATTAGCCAATTGAGATTTGTGTTCGTACTGGCTTTAAAGAGTATTTACGAATCCCGGCCTTTATCTACGTGATGCTAGGTTCAAACTTGTAAGTTGTGGCTAAAAGTGATTGCAATGTCTCTTAATTTTAGGTCTACTGGCAGCCAGTCATTTCATGTGGTTTCTTCGGTCTCAAGGTTTGGTGAGGCCTCTCCGTATCACCAGAACCCACCACTTTCTGTATATCCACGTTCGTTATTGGAACATGTTGTTAGTCTTGATATCGACCATCAACCCGCATATGTCCGAAATACTGGTATAATATGCACCATCGGTAAGCTACTATGAAAGTCTCTCTGTAATATTTCTTGAAGAGAAATTTGTTTCGTAAACAGATCTGTGAGTAATAAGGGATCTTGGATTTAAAGTATTAAGTTATTCACTCTTTAATGGTCTGGTCGTTAAGTATACAGTTAATGTACACCTATAAAGACTTCCATTAATAACCACGTTGCGTCCATAGTTTGGGTCAACGCTATTCAGTTCTTTTTGTCCTCCTGTAACATTATTGTCGATCCTCAGAAAAGTAACTAGATTGTAGGTTCACGAGTGTTTCTGTATTATTCTGATTTCAAGTTTAATTTCATAGTGCTATTTTACTAGGTTGAGTAGAGACAATCTTATTAATTTAAACCAACCAATCGGTTCCGTTTTGTTAAAGTAGATGCGATACCCACCACCATATTACGCTTAGGCAAGTTCATCAGGACGCTTTTGAGTCGTACCATTCCACAATCGCTATTTCAGTTTTCTATGAACAGGTTACTGCTGTTCAGCAAACTACGTCCAAGGTTCACTACGCAATGTGAGGTTTATGGATGGTACCCATCTGCCTAGCGATTATGAATATGCTAAACATATCTCTCTCTGAATCCATCTGCACCACGTTTCCTCGACTATTTTAATTTTCTCTGGACAACTAAGTGCAAAATGTGGCATCTTGGGACGATATATAGTACTAGATTATACGTCCTTTACTTCCATTAAATATCAGTCTTCAGTATTAAGAATAGGAGATCTATCGACCTATGTTAATCCTTGCAGTTAGTAACACTGTGTAGGTCCAATCTCATTTTGAATATATCTACAGGTGCTGATTTTACATGTCCCGCTAGAGAATTCCAGTCATTCACTACTCGGTGCAAGAAGCGAAACTCCAGACGTAAACGATTTGATCTCGGTTTTTGAACTTCCTTCGAATGTCCTCTCAAATGATCAGTCCTAGGCGGAAGTAAAAGATAAGACATGGTAGTACAAAGGTTATCGTTCAGTATACGACAAGCCAATATTAGATCACCCCGTATTGTACGGTAAGATAACGGAAATAAGTCAGGGTGTCTCAGTTTGTCTTCATAAGATAGGCCAGATAGACCTTTAGCCATTTTAGTACCTCGTTGTTGGACTCTTTCCAGCGTATCTGCTTCATACTTGAGACAACAACTCGCTGCTTGAATCCCATATTCCAAATGTGGTCGCACACAAACCGGATATCATAATCTAAACATTTCATCGTCTAAATACTAGAAAGACCTACGAATAAATCATAATACCCTATAGCCTTTCTCAGCAGTAGCCTTACAGTGACTAGTGGTTTTGAGATCATTGCTTAATATGACTCCTCAATCTTTATAGTTTCTTACTTTGGGTAGCACGAATCCACATATTGTATAGTGATACGATTCATCATAGTTATTTAATTGTATCACCACACTCATTAGGATTTACTTCTGATGAACACCTGTCCAATCATTCCACCAGTGAGCTATGACCATCCTGTAATACTATTCTATCTGACATGCTGTGTATGGATCTCCAAATTTTTATGTCATCAGCGAAGAGTAGAAAGGATAATTTTGCCACAGTTGGTAGTTCATTAACATAAGTAAAAAGAGAAGAGAACCGAGGATTGTACCTTGGTTAACTCCACTTTTTACAGGTACCGACGAGGAGAGGGCTCCATTAACCCTCACCTTGAATACTAAGTATAAAAACTAAGCTGCCAAACTATTCCTAACTATTTGTATGCATACTGGAAAGTAATCATTTTTTTTCAGGTAGTCAGTGAGATTTGTTGCTTCGGGCAACGAGAACTAGCTGGTGAATAATATCGGCTATTCTGTTTATGATGATCGTGCAATTCATAAAACTGAGTTCCAAGTTTTAATCTTTAAAATTATACAAACAATAAGAGTTCAGTAATTTGGATGGACGCTTGTTATTTATTCAATTGACTTCAAACATAACAAAAATAAGCATAACTATCAACAGAGTACTATTATTCATCAGTTGTTGAATTTCGTGCAACGATGTGAATTTTTCAGGATGATTTCTTTTCCTCCTGTATAGTAGTTCAGGCGTTATTGTTACTCACTAATTCTATAGGACTGACAAAACGAGTTTATGTGTACATTTGATTCTAAAGATATTTGACTTGACTTTTCTGCCTATTTTGTAAACTAGGTCCTGCTTGTCGCACTGTCGAGATACTACAGAATATGATGACATCTGGAATGAATATTGCCCGTCTGAATTTCTCTCACGGCAGTCACGAATATCATGCGAAAACCATTGAGTTGGTCCGAGAGGCTGCCGCAACTTTAAAACCGTTCCCTCGACCGATAGGGATTGCTTTGGATACCAAGGGGCCTGAAATTCGTACTGGCCTTATTAACGGGGTAAGGTTAATGTTGATCACAATTGTAAAATATCCTTTTATCTCTTTCCAACTGTTCAAATCTACTTACTCAAAAAATTAAGTGTGTTACAATATAGGCATTACATTTCTATTTATTTCTAACAGTTTCTGTTGTCCATTTACTCAAGTATCTACAACCGGGTTCGTTACCGTCATTCAATGTTATTAGGAAAACGTATGAAAACGATTAGAGTTATGAGCAAAACTCACAGTTCTACGTGAAATTATTCGACTGTTATTACATATAGTTTTAAACACTTGGGATAATTTTTCTTTCTCCTCTATTAATGAACATTATTTAAAGTCAATATGTAAGTATTGTTTCCAGCACTATCTCGTAAGACTAATTCATTTCCTTCCATGTAAAGAAAATATAGAGCATATCGAGAGGTATGACGCAATCGAATTATTTAAGTAACTCAACTGTTAACTATTTATTAAGGTTGCTGAGTCCACTTGAAATTAAAACGATTGTTAACCACCTAAGTATGTACATGTCTTCGGAACCATGCCAACTTCTTTTTGCTGCACGTATATCTTTTTGTTATACACTATATGGTAAGTACTTAACATATTTTTGCATTCTCTCTTGTAGAGTGGGACCGCTGAAGTCAATCTTCAAGTTGGTCATAAAATACGTGTAACCACTGATTCCGCATACATGGAAGCATGTAATGAGTCTATTCTGTATGTGGACTACCGAAATATTGTACATGTTCTGTCTAAAGGATCAAAGATTTTCGTTGATGATGGTTTAATAAGCTTAGTGGTTTTGGATAAAGGTAAGTGATCTTCTGGTTCCACTTTATGTCAAGTGTGTGTGTTGATTCCACATATATTTTTTGTGTTGATTCATTTTGTATTATTTCTAGTCAAACGTTAAATTCGTTATTTGGCCTTAAAAGTCATAGGTACGTATGATTACTTACATATAAAACTTAGTTTTGGTAGTTAATGATAACCGTTGAGTGAACTGAAAGCCAATTTTTATTAAATTCTACAACTTAGTTTCTTCGATAGTCAATATCAAAGTTGATGATATAATAAATATCATGACCACCCGACCAAGCGACCCAATATTACAGTTCAACTCTGAATTAGTCAGCAATCATCTCCCCAAAACAAACTCATATCAACCCGTGCTTCATTCCACAGTTTCCCAGCAGGACGTTTTTTGTTATTATTTAAGCTCTTCCGATGCATACCATATCTTAACCGAAGTATTTAAGCAAGTTCACAGAAGAGATTGTAGACAGATTTACAGTGGCATAACTATCATAGGTAAATATCGAACATATTCTCTGCTTCCACTTAAGTGTACGTCATGCAGTAAAAGAACTACTCGAAAAAAATATTTGTAAAATATCCGTATACTTAAATTGGTACATAATATGATTTGTGCCTGTATATTTTTTCCTTTAATATCAGGTCCTGATTACCTTGAATGCGAAGTTGAAAATGGTGGAAAGCTAGGGTCTCGTAAAGGAGTTAATCTCCCAGGAGCCCATGTCGATTTAGATGCAGTATCAGAAAAAGACAAACAAGATCTTCGTTTTGCAGTTGAGCATAACGTAGGTTCTTAATCAATATTAACTGTGTATTCATCTTTTCAATGGTATAATGTTTTAATTTTTCGTTAACAAACTAATCTTACTGTTAGTTCCACATCGATTATCAAATGTACACTACTTTTCTCAGTAAATTCGATCTGAATGTGATGTCGAAGTACAAACATTCCTGTCTTGAATATTGTTTTTCAATAACTTAACTTGCTTTGTATCCTAATATTGCACAAATGCGCTTCATAAAATAATCACTTAAAAATTAGTTAGGTGATATATAGTTACCCAAAAACGTTAATATTATATTACGTGTGACAAGTTACTACATACAACTTATAAATTCTATCTTCCCTGTTTCGTCATTTCATAAATTGTCGATTAAACATTTTCAAGGTTGACATGGTGTTTGCCTCTTTCATCCGGAATGCTGATGCTGTACACCAGATCCGTCAACTTCTCGGTGATAATGGTTCCCACATTAAAATCATCGCTAAAATCGAAAATCATGAAGGCGTCCAACGGTAAGTTCCTCAGTTTTATTGTGCACAAATATATATCGTAAACGAAAACCGTTCCGAAAGCATCTAAACCCACATACGCTACGGCAATCAAATATAGATTACAATTTACCACCCAAACCATTATAGAAAATTATTTAGTGTAGATATTGCTCAACTATTTAAGGGGTACAGAATATACATAATGTACATGTTTTGATGTTACTGTTAGAGTAGCATTTGATTGTACTATATGAGTTCGATGCCTTTAGGATAGGAAAAATTTTAGTATTGAATTATAAAACTATCATAGTTATAGCCATGTGATTGTATTGATCTCAGAAACTTGATGTAACATAATTCCACTGCTAGGATTTGCTTCTGCTAAGTTTCTGATAAAATGCTAATAATTTAAAACAACACTAAAACGGATGTCATCATTTCGTTACTCCATCTAAACTCCCACTACAATATGTTAATAAAAAAAGACTATTGAATTACACAGTAGTGAAATGATTGCATAATCAGAACATCATATCTTAAATCTATCTACTTCCATTAGTTTTCATTATATCATGTGGTCCATTAATGAAAATTTTATCAAAAACCTTTCATCACAGTAAAACAAATAGTTTTGAACATGCAAATATATTATCAGTCTATATATAGTCAGATTTCATTACATGCTATAATTAAACAATTTTTAGGAAAATAAGTAAAATGCGAATACCTTATCACCTAGATAATAAAAACAAACGCATTGGATAATGATATAACTCCTAGTAATATGGTGAGATTATTTTATTATCCAGATAAATTTTTTGAATAATAATCATGAATTTTTCCAAGAATCTATTCACATTATTATTTTTTATTTTTAACACTGGACACTTAATCTGTTTGCTATAGATAGTTTTATACAAAAAAGTAACGATTACTGTGATTATCCAATCATTTGTTTTATCGAGCAAAATGGACATAATTCAAATGTTTTCTTTCCGTTATTGTCATTTAATATGACTATACAATAGTATTTATAGATATTTTAAACATATTGATTTATAATAAAATTGACAAATGCACCAAACCTTAATCCAAAAATTTTCAAACACTACATAATAGTCGAAGAGGAGACGAACAAGTATCAAACACAGCTTATAAAATGAGATATCGTGAAAAGATTTAAATGGTAGCTATCCACTTTTGACTTGCGATGTGTTTGTTACGTCTTATTTTCTTGCAAACAGTTGTGAGCAAAATATTTATAAATACAATTGTACGGTTCTAGTCCAGTGTGGTAGCAGTAAGTCTCAACATACACAAAGGGAAAAGCAAGATTCTCCGATACAACACAACATACACCAGATCACACTTAACGAAGCTTTGGAGGATGTGAAAACCTTTACATATCTGGATAGCATCATTGATGAACACGGTAGAGCTGATACAGATGTAAGGGCGCGGGTCGGCAAAGCCAAAGCAGCATATCTACAGTTAGAGAACATCTGAAACTTAAAACATCTGTCAACCAACACCAAGGTCAGAATTTTCAATAGAAATGTGAAGACAATTTTACTGTATGGGGGCGGAAACTTGCAGAACTACACAAGTCAACATCCAGAAGATACAAGTGTTTACTTTATTATTTTAACACATACATATTGGTACAAGAAGGCACCAAATACAAATATGCGCCACACAGATCTCATTTGATATGTGTGAGGGCTGTGATACTGCCCGGGTGCCCAAATTGAAGCAGATGGTTTTCTTAGGCGGCCACACCCGGAGCCCTCGACTTGAAGGTCTAATCCACAAGGCAGTGGAGCACCGTAAGCAGATGCAGTCCCATGGTAGCCCATTACCAATGATTGGTTCATACGCCATTTCTTCCTTCAGGATACTGGAGCCCATGTACACCATTGGTTTGGAATAATGGTTTTCCAACTCCCCTAGGTGGACTCTCCATGTCCACCAACCGGTTAAAGCACCAGACATTCGCAACAATTTTTATGGATACATGAAGTGTCTGGACAATGTGCGAGACCAGAAAGACCAGTCAAATAGCTGCAGAAATGAGAAAATACAACTTGACGGTTCTCGGAATCCGTGAAACTCATTGTATCCAAGCTGAACAACAAAGGTCGGGTACAGGAGAGATGTTGTTGTACTCCGATCACACAGAAGAAAATGTTCCACATATTAAAGTAGTTACTCTGATGCTGTCCGAAGAAGCACCAAGTGTACTTATACGATAGGAATCTCACGGATTCAAAATCGTCAAAGCTTCAGATCACCATCTATCTGGTGATTGCCAAGATGAAACTTAAGCTAACGAAGCAATGGACAACTGGACAAACAACATTACAAAGGTTCAATACAGTCTTCCTTCGACATACTGACAAATTCAACGAATTCAATATAGATCTCAACAACAGGTTCAACGCCTTACAAGATCCACTCGAAGAAGAGAATAATACTATGAAAGACAAGTGGAACGGGATCAAAGATGCACTAACTTCAACGTTTCAGGAGGTTCTGGGCCACAAAAAGCATCATCATAAGGAATGAATCTCTATGGAAACCCTGGACAAGGTTCAGGAAAGGAAGAACAGAAAGACAGCAATCAACAACAGTGGAAAAAGAACAGAGAAAGCCAATGCACATGGTGAATACTTAAAATTAAACAAGAGAGTGGAGAGGAGCATTAGAGCTGACAAACAGAAATACGTGGAAGACGAAGCAATGACAGTGGAAAAAGCTACAAGAGAAGGGAATGTGCAACAATTATGTGACACAACGAAGAAACTGGTAGGGAAACAGAGCGAAGTAGAGAGACCGGTGAAGGACAAAGAAGGTGAGCCAATCAATCGCTGATATTGAAGAACAGCGGGACAGATGGGTAAAGCGCTTTGAAGAACTCTTGAATGGACCAGCTCCACTGAACCACGACCGGACATAGAAGCAACACACAGAGATATTCCCATAGATGTTATCGACCCAACAATTGAAGAAAACATCATGATCATCAGACAAGTCAAGAGTGGGGAAGCAGCAGAACCAAACAACATACCATATGAAGCACTAATGTCAGACATAGAAGTGACTGCATACATGCTCCATGTTCTATTCAGGAAGATTTAAGAGAAAGAACAAATGAAGACAGACTGGAATGAAAGATATCTCATTAAGATAACAAATAAACGAGATTTGAGCATGTGTGAGAACTACAGAGGCATCACACTACTATCTGTGACATGAAAATTTTTCAACCAAGTTTTGTAGAACTGAATGAACGATTCAATGAACACTGAACTTCGAGATCAACAAACCGGATTCCGTAAGGATCAGTTGTGTACGGACCAAATGGCAACACTACTGATCATCGTTGGACAATCACTTGAATGGAAATTATCACTAGACATCAACTTCTTTAACTTAACATTATTTTCTATTAATCTTGCTCGTCTTGCTCTTTAGAACTAGTGGCTTTCTGATTTCAAGTTGTAAACCTCAAGATTAACTAGAATTCGTAGCTTATAAGTTATCCATTGTGGTCTTTTGCTCCAAACTATTATGTTCGTGTAAACAAATTTATTAGAGTATATTCAATACAAGGTATCCTTATGCGGTTCCTTTCTTTTCCCGTTTTCGATTCGATGACATCATATTCATATTTATCGTATCTCTTGGTTCTTCTGTTTTGAAAAGGTGGTCTTTTCTACAAAATAGCATTACGGTACAGGATTCCAAATAATTTTTTTCATATCCCTCAGATAAAACGATTTATCAACTTGTTATTGGGATCTTGACAATGTCTAATCTTTCTGCTTTCTATCTTCAGATTTAATGAAATCCTTGATGCTGCTGATGGAATTATGGTTGCTCGTGGTGATCTAGGAATAGAAATCCCTGCTGAAAAGGTTTTCATAGCACAAAAGATGATGATTGGTCGCTGTAATCAGGTTGGGAAGCCTGTGATATGTGCCACACAAATGTTGGAGTCAATGACTACTAAGCCTCGTCCAACACGTGCTGAATCAAGTGACGTTGCTAATGCCGTACTTGATGGTGCAGACTGTGTTATGCTTTCAGGTTGGTTTCGATTTCATAATATTTTACATTTTCGACGTTACCTACTCATCAAACCATAACTATGTACTTCAAATATTACGCGTTTTCGTACTATTTTTCTCCAAATTCTTGGTTACTCTGTGTCCCTGCAGATTCACATACTGAAACCAAGCTCCGTTTTTTCCACTGGTGGGCTAGATTTTTTTTAAAACCATACAAATAGAAAATGCTTGTTCATATTCTTGCTGATATCGTAAGGTCGTGCAATACTTCTATTGAATAATATATCTATTTGGTCAGTGGGTATTTAAATATCAAATTATGCATTGATCAACAAGAGTTCCAGTCTAAATTACGCATCATTTAATGTTCAAACTCATTTGACAGGTAGGCACTTGGGTATTAACCACAATCTACATACCGAAGTAGTCAGAGCCGAGTTCAAACCTGGGTCTTAGTAGTTTAAAGTTGAACATCTTAACCACTAAGCCATGGATATTAAATTAATTGCATTCCACTAAAGTCTACCTGCTAAACCTTTACACCAAAAAGTTTTTAAATGCCAATCGCTTGAGGTAAATTTGAACAAGGGATTTCACTAAAAATACAAATATCTATTCAACTCATTGCTCACCTCATCAGATTTTTACCTGCCAAATTGAATCAATCTCCACCTATATTTCGTTTGGATAGTGTTCTATCTTTTGTTTTGTTTTCTAGAAAATTGTTTCATCCATTTTGATTTTTCTATCTAATCATTTTAGGTCAGTACTAGAGAAGTGGTGGTAGTGTTGGCGTCTGAGAAACAGCAGAAATCTGATTACATAAATTATAAATTACACATCTTAAAGCAGTAACATTTAATTGACGAGCAGATGAATTTCAATCATAATCTACCTTTTTTTCTATTCACAGCAATATTCATAGGTTATTTTCAAGTTTTTAATTATCGATCAACCAAAATAAATTGTTCATTTTTCAACTTATTTTATATTTTATAATTCAGGAGAAACAGCCAAAGGATTATATCCATTAGAGGCTGTACAAACTATGCACCGTATATGTGTACAGGCTGAGGCAGCAATGTTTCATGGACAATTGTTTGAAGATTTGAAGTCTTCTTTATATGGCCCAACTGAAATGGCTCACACCACTGCCATTGCTGCTGTAGAAGCTGCTAGTCGTTGTAATGCTGCCGCTATCATTGTGATTACAACATCTGGCCGGTATGTTTTTATCTTACATAAAATTAATCAATGATTACACACATTCTCGTTTCTATTAAAATTAAAACTAGTCTAAAATATACTGCTATTCGAATTCATTTAGAAGGCAATGAATGAAATACTCAGAAATACTTTAATATATTAAAAGTACTGAGCTCCATCAAGCTGCATGAAATTTATGTCTTTAATAATAGACGTTCAACAAATAATTCGATGGGAAAAATCAACAAACAAACTAAATGGAATTAGTTGTTAAAACTTGAAACATCTAAATAACCAACTTGAAGAGAAGACATCGCGAAATGTTGAAGCCAAAGAATATACAACAATAAATGTAAATATTTGATCACAAAAATGATGAACCAATAAAACTCGCATGGTTGAGATGAAAATAAACATTGAATATTCTTATATGTCCAAATCATTCTTTGAAAATTTCAAGGACTTAGAAATCTTAACAAATGTTGACATTTTCAGGACCATGTTTAAATATCCCGCGATAATAAAAGTTAATTATTTAAAATAACGAGTGTGTTCATTGGGAAAACATAGTTTATTTAAAAGATAAAATTTATTTGTGAAATACATGTAATTAATTGTTCGCGTTACCTAATCTGCTGGTTGATTGTCAATTAGAAAATCTATGATAATTGTTTTCATCAAGTGTTGTATCATTTGTAGATAGGAAGACGTTATGGAAACTACTTCAACACTATGGAGTTCTTGAGAAGATTGTCAACGTTATCCGGAACTCATACGACGGACTACAGTGCAAAGTCGTGCATGGAGAACAGCTGACAGATGCATTCCAAGTAAGGACCGGAATCAAACAAGGCTGTCTACTCTCTCCCTTCCTCTTTCTTCTGGTGGTCTACTGGATTATGAAAACCTCGACATCTGAAGGAAAACACAGCATATAATGGACATCTCAGAACTAATTATAGACGATTTGGACTTCACAGACGACCTAGCCCTCGTATCCAATACACACGAACAAATGCAGATAAAGACAGCCAGTGTAGCAGCAGTCTATGCATCAGTAGGCCTCAACATATACAAGAAGAAAACCAAGATCCTCAAATTCAAAACGGAGAACAGCAGTCCAATCACTCTTGATGGCGAAACTCTGGAAGATGTAGAATCCTTCACATACCTGGGAAGCATCATCGATGGACATGGAGGTTCAGATGCGAACGTAAAAGCGAGGATTGGCAAAGCAAGGGCCATATTTCTACAATTGAAGAACATATCGAACTCAAAACAACTGTCTGTCAACCAATATCAAAATCAAAATCTTCAATACGGACGTCAAAACAGTCAGTTCTACTGTACGGAGCTGAAACTTGGAGAACTACTACAACCATCATCAAAAAGGTATAAGTACTTATAAATAGCTGTCTATGCAAGATACTCAACATCCATTGGTCGGATACCATCAGCAACAGCCTCCTCTGGGAGAGAACAAACTATCTTCCAGCTAAAGAAGAAATTAGGAAAAGACGATGGATAGGACATACATTACGCAAATCATCAAACTGCATTACGTGGCAAGCCCTGACTTGGAATCCTGAAGGGAAGCGGAAAAGAGGAAGGCCAGAGAACACATTACGTCGGGAAATAGAATCAGATATGAAAAGGATAAATAACAACTGAAAGGAGCCAGAAAGGATTTCCCAGGACAGGGTTGGATGGAGAATGCTAGTGAGTGGCCTATGCTCCTTCACGAGGAGTTTCAGGCGTAAGTAAGTTGTATCATTTAGATTAGAATGATTAACGAAATGAAGAAGGCACTTATATGTACCCTGCTTTTTTGATGCTTTAAAGGGTACTATACAATATCGATACATGTATCTTGATTATCTATATTTAACATTCGTTTTGATTAATTCTCTTTTGTATGATAGTTCATGCCAATTGATCTCACGTCATAGACCTCGTTGCCCAATTCTCACTGTGACACGTCATGAATATATTGCTCGTCAAATTCACCTTTATCGTGGCGTTCATCCTTTGTATTATGGTGGTAAGTTGTATATAAACAATCAGAAACATTTTATTAAATTATCAAATATTCAACTAAATTTATTGTGTGCAATGACAGTAAATTTACCCGATTTTAACTTTTTATTTCATGTATTTTACAGAACCACGAGCTGGAGAATGGTACGAAGATATGGACCGTAGAATTCGTTATGCTATTGATTATGGTAGAAAGCGTTCATTTTTCTCGCCTGGGTGCTTCGTAATAATCGTAACTGGTTGGAAAGCTGGTTCCGGTTCTACAAATACACTTCGTGTTGTCAAACTAGAAGATGCAGAAACTAAGCCAATAGTTATGGTGCCAAGTATTACACACTTTGATGATTAGGTTAACTTATATAATTGATGATTCAAATGATGGGACTTTATCACAAACACTTTTTCAGTTCTTTTAGTTTCATCGTATGTACTTCAATTTAGTCATGTTCCGTTCCTTACCCTCTTAATCACAGAAATTATTGTCATTTATATTAATAGATGTAACCTTACAGCTGAAATTCGTTTCATTCAACTATAATTGTCTAAATACTTTGTGGAAGCATCACTTAATAGATGTGTATGTGTGTAGTCGTCTTTTTTAGTAGACCTATGATTGTACTTCTTTACTTTCCTCTTTTCACGCACGCAACTTAGAAATGTCTGAAAATTTATAAGATAACATTTTATTTTTTTTCAAATCAAGTCATTGATTAATCATTTTCCTGCATGTGTGCGTCATGTTAAAATAATTGTACGCAATATACTTTCCAGATAATTTCCTGGATTTTTTTTATTTGTAATGAAACATAATATCGTTGCCTGCTAGTCTCCACGTATCAGAAATGCTATTTAAAGCCAATAAATTTCACCAAGACTAGTCAATCTCTAGTTAGAAGTTAGCTGAGGTAAGTAGCATGAGTCCTAACCATCCTACAATATTCAGGTTTGCGATCTCATCATCTGATCAATCTCTTCAATTACTTATGTGGCTTCAAAATAGTTATTAGACTATAGGAGTCGTTCTCTACAAGTATCACTTAGCAAATATTCTTAGTTTGCTTGTCTTTATTGACATGTTCGGTGAACTTCTGATATATGATAGTGACTTGAGCTGATGCACAATTTGTTCGAAGCTCTACATTGCATATGACTGACTTCTGCTGTTACTCAACTATTTTTAGTCGTCCAAGCGTTTGGCCAGTATTACTGGTCACTAATGTTTACACATGAGTGCCTTGATCATCGCTAAGAGCGATCAGTGTACAAACTCCTGACTGTTTTGTTTCAGCTCCGTGCACGCTTCTAAAATCCATTAAGATGAGTAAAGGCTTGGTCGTTTAGTTGTAATTCCTCTTTAGTCTAGTTTTCTTGTTTACCGTATAAGGAATTATTGACGTCGACGGTTTTGTATCTGGGTCCTCGGAGTCGACTACAATTTTTAGAATTAAGGAGACCAGTTATTTGGCCGTTTTAAGACTTGACACAAAATAGCCCTACTAGGTCATCAAAATATGAAACCTATCAATCTCAAATGTAAGTTGTGAAGGTTTCTATATTCGTTTCGTGTAAAAATTTTGTTACTCGTCAGTGTTTGGTCTTCCTGGGATAAATTTTTCCCAAGAGCAATTTTCATTCCGTGTTGACGTAGTATACAGGCTACGCTCAAATCACTACGAGTACTAGAGTATATCCAATACTAAGTAAATTATGATAGATAATGATGGTCTAGGAAATTACTAATACTCATGTAAAATTGTCAACCACAAACCTCTCAACTACCAACCAACCTTTTTATCCAATTATATTGAGTACATGGGCCGTAGCTCGTTATTGATAATGCATTTGATATTGGATCTTTCATAATGAGTTTAATTACCCTTGAAGCTCAATTTCTTAATTTTGTTTCCCTGTTTTGATATGATATGTGGGAACTTCGGTTAGTCCATATTCGTGCCACGTTCTCCGTTTGTTTGTACCTGATTTTTTGACCATAATGTTCTAAGTAAGAAAAATACAACTTACCACTGAGTCGTTTTTCCTACGTTGTTTCAGTTTGGCAATAGACGTGGAATTCCTAACGGTAACACAGTTACTTTTCGCTATCATAATTCTTTATCCTAAACGACATCTATTGATTCGTCCACCAACGATATCGCTTTTCTGCATTCATCAACAGTTAACGGGTTTGTTATTTAGATATAGTAATCATTTGACAAAGAATAGGCGAAATACAAGTCAGTTGACGATGCACTGGCTCTCACCTGATTTTTACTGGTCTACATTTACTTTCCATGTACTTGTATCTTGGAAAATTTTCTCTATTCTTACTGCTTTCCAGAATGTAAGATATCTAGTACATTGTAGGAAAACTTATCCTAAATCATAGCTGAGCACAGTACACTATAATTAAATGAATTATTTCTCAGAATGAATATATTTTTAGGGTGTTGCGTTCTATAGGTACAATGGTTTAGTCCTTCAACTTTCATAGTCTATCTGGACAACAGCATCAGCACATAATTCGAAAGGTAGTGAAATTTTAAAATTGTAATGACTGCATAGATTCTCGTTTTATTGAAACTAAAAGAGCAAAATACCTAAATCTTCCGACTGAACTACAGATACCGTGACCTGAAAATCAATAAATGCAATTATAGAATTGAGTTATTATCCTCTATTATTCAAAAGTTTTTTTTAAATAGTTGTAATCGGTGAAGTGTAACCTAATTAAAATTAGTTTCTGCCATTTAAGTCGGATCCGACTTCTCATTTAGGCATTCAAAAGTAGAATTGTATGAGCACTTTTGTTCTTTACTTCGTGTTATATCTCTGAGACGTCGATAAATATCACGTGCTAAGTTTCTCAAAGAAAATACCGCCTTTAAATGTTCTACTTCGTGTCTACTATTCCGACTATAGTCTAGCGTCCTTAGCCTTGAGTAGTGATGCGTTCTGTCCGGTACAATTTAACGTGAGCTACGCTTCCATTGGTTGCCAATCCGAAGAGAAGTCAGCAGCCAGGCATCTACAATTCCCACATTACAATCACGCAAGCGCGACAGCATACCATCAATCTTAAACAATCATTAGGTTATATACACGAAGTATTATACAGCATAGCACATTGGATGAGAAATTGTTCTTTAAATATAATCATGCCATAAGAGAGGAAATCAAGCATTACATGACTAATTAGAAATAATTAAGGAGTAGTAAAACGCATAACAATAGTTAACAAGTCCACTGGAATCTTACAATAAGGCAGATATAGAAATTCAATAATGTAGCTATTCCAAAACTATAAGAAAGTGATAGAAATAATAATCTCAAAAGTAATTCAAAAAGTATAAATCTTTCCGATATTCATTCCGGTATAATAATCCACACCTCTGTAAGGCGTACACTTGACTTGCTATTACTCGTGACTCTGCAGGTTAATCAATGCACTTTCCAAGGATTATCTTTATTAATATTGATTGGTATAAGATTATCAAACCGTTCGCATATCTTCAATCAAAATGATGTATTTTATTTATAAAACATCCATAATAGGATGTAGCTAATGGTATCCTGCCAATGGACATTGAGCATCTTGAGTAGACGATTGTTTATAAATACTTTTACATTATTGATGATGGTTGTAGTAGTTCTGCAAGTTTCAGCTCCGCACAGTAAAACTGACTTTCATGACGTTCGTATTGAAGATTCTGAATTTGATGTTGGCTTGCAGACATTTGTCTTGAGTTCCACATGTTCTTCTATTGTAGAAATGTAGCCCTTGTTGAGCCAAAACTCACCTTCACCTATGCATCTGATCCGCCTTGTTCATCGATAATGCTGAACAGGTACGCGAAAGTTTCCAGTTCTCCCAGTGCTTCTCCATTAAATGTGGTCGAGATGGTGCTCTCTGTGTTATATTTTAGAATCTTGCTTTTTCCTCTGTCTATGTTGAGGCCTACTCATGCAGAGGCTTCTGCTACACTGTTTGTCTTGACCTGTATTTGTTGGTGTGTATGGGATAGAAGGGCTAGGTCGTCTACGAAGTCCAAGTCGTCTAGTTGCATGCAAGCTGTTCATTGTACTCCATGCTTTCCCTCAGATGTCGAGGTCTTCGTAATCCAGTCAATCAACAGAAGAGAAAGAAAGGGTGGGAGTAGGCAACTTTGTCTGACTCCGGTCCTCACTCGGAATGAGTCTGTCAACTGTCCTCCATGCAGATAAATTTTTCCCAAGAGCAATTTTCATTCCGTGTTGACGTAGTATACAGGCTACGCTCAATCACTACGAGTACTAGAGTATATCCAGTACTAAGTAAATTATGATAGATAATGATGGTCTAGGAAATTACTAATACTCATGTAAAATTGTCAACCACAAACCTCTCAACTACCAACAAACCGTTTTATCCAATTATATTGAGTACATGGGCCGTAGCTCGTTATTGATAATGCATTTGATATTGGATCTTTCATAATGAGTTTAATTACCCTTGAAGCTCAATTTCTTAATTTTGTTTCCCTGTTTTGATATGATATGTGGGAACTTCGGTTAGTCCATATTCGTGCCACGTTCTCCGTTTGTCTCTACCTGATTTTTTGACCATAATGTTCTAAGTAAGAAAAATACAACTTACCACTGAGTCATTTTTCCTACGTTGTTTCAGTTTGGCAATAGACGTGGAATTCCTAACGGTAACACAGTTACTTTTCGCTATCATAATTCTTTATCCTAAACGACATCTATTGATTCGTCCGCCAACGATATCGCTTTTCTGCATTCATCAACAGTTAACGGGTTTGTTATTTAGATATAGTAATCATTTGACAAAGAATAGGCGAAATACAAGTCAGTTGACGATGCACTGGCTCTCACCTGATTTTTACTGGTCTACATTTACTTTCCATATACTTGTATCTTGGAAAATTTTCTCTATTCTTACTGCTTTCCAGAATGTAAGATATCTAGTACATTGTAGGAAAACTTATCCTAAATCATAGCTGAGCACAGTACACTATAATTAAATGAATTATTTCTCAGAATGAATATATTTTTAGGGTGTTGCGTTCTATAGGTACAATGGTTTAGTCCTTCAACTTTCATAGTCTATCTGGACAACAGCATCAGCACATAATTCGAAAGGTAGTGAAATTTTAAAATTGTAATGACTGCATAGATTCTCGTTTTATTGAAACTAGAAGAGCAAAATACCTAAATCTTCCGACTGAACTACAGATATCGTGACCTGAAAATCAATAAATGCAATTATAGAATTGAGTTATTATCCTTTATTATTCAAAAGTTTTTTTTAAATAGTTGTAATCGGTGAAGTGTAACCTAATTAAAATTGGTTTCTACCATTTAAGTTATCGCAAGTCGCATCCAACTTCTCATTTAGGCATTCAAAAGTAGAATTGTATGAGCACTTTTGTTCTTTCCTTCGTGTTATATCTCTGAGACGTCGATAAATATCACGTGCTAAGTTTCTCAAAGAAAATACCGCCTTTAAATGTTCTACTTCGTGTCTACTATTCCGACTATAGTCTAGCGTCCTTAGCCTTGAGTAGTGATGCGTTCTGTCCGGTACAATTTAACGTGAGCTACGCTTCCATTGGTTGCCAATCCGAAGAGAAGTCAGCAGCCAGGCATCTACAATTCCCACATTACAATCACGCAAGCGCGACAGCATACCATCAGTCTTAAACAATCATTAGGTTATATACACGAAGTATTATACAGCATAGCACATTGGATGAGAAATTGTTCTTTAAATATA